TAAATTAAATTGCTAGCAAATTTCCTTCTTAGTATTATTTCATGTGAAATCAATGAATAAAATAGTTGGCTCCTATTACACAATATTCTACTATATTAATTTAATTATTTTGGAATGATTTATCAACACGAGAAAAAGATTTCAGACAGCGCTTGGAGTTCTTTCACCTCTTTCTCCATTGGATGAATCATATAGGAAACATGTCTAGCCTCTTACAACTTTCTTAAGTATTTTCTGTCATTGACTTCCTTTTCATAAATCTCTTAAGTCTCCCATAACTAGTCTATGTGATTAGTGAGGACTACTTAAGTTTGCATATGAAACTTCATGGAACCATAGTTTATAGGGATACTGTTAGTTGTGGGATGTACAGAGGAGGGATACCAGAGCTGCGGAGAGGCTGGGGAACAGGTGCAGTAGAGACATGAATACCTGAGGACTTAAATAAAAGCAGCTCTCTGTTTCCTCCTAGACAGATAGTGGAGCTCACTTGCCCAGCGTTCTATGAGAAGAGCTTTCCTGGTGTCTTTACCACACAATGAATACATGAAAGCACACAGCAAGAAGAATGCAAATATTTAGTGCATCTGGAAAGAGGTGAATTACAGACAGGGGAGCAATGCTAACAAGAATATGGTGACTCCACTATAGCCTGCTGACTTGGGACCAGAAGTATTTACACTATGATGATTAAACTATGATTTGCAGATTATTAAGGAAATGAATCAAGAAATTGGGAGGTAACAGAAGCATCAATAGCTTCTGAGATATATTTTCATTTACCAGTCTGAATCTAGGAACTTCTGTAATAAAAGTTCCTTTCTCATGGGAAATCTAGTTGGGTTTAAGTAGAATTGATCCCACACAACTTAAGGACAGAAATGTGAAGTCAGACATGACTAATCAAAATACCCATTTGTGGTGATTGTTGAAGTTCTGAAATTTAAAATCTTCTCTATAGGTTTCTGCTAGAGCAAGCTGAGAAGATTCTCATCATCTGCCTCTAAGCTGGAAGGATCCAAATTGCATGACTGGGATCTTTGCTTTACAGAGAGACACAGGAAAAGATGGAAGATGTCTGTGAGGGTGTAGAACTCAAGTTGACTTTGGTGCTGTTATTTTCATGGTTTTGGTAGGTTGCTTTGTTAAACTATTACTGAGAAGATACTTGTGCATAGCATGTTGATGAATCAATTATCGCAAATCCAATAACTATGATCATGGTAATTATTCATATTTATTGAGGGCTTATAGAATGCACAGAATTATTTCAATTTTTTATATTTATTGAGTTTTCTTGTTTGTCCCAGAATGTGGTCAATTTTAACAAAACTTCCATGGGCTGCTGTGTAGAAAGTGTGCTCTTTGGTGCTTGGGTGGAATATTCTGTAGATGTCTGTTAGGTGCATTTCATGAAAGCTGTCATTTAACTCAGATGTTTCTGTTTTTCTTTGTCCAATTGACCTTTCCATTGAAGTCATCTATATTGCTGATTTGCAGTTAATCTGTGTTTTATAGTCCTGGAGTTCTTTTTTTTTTTTAAATGCAATTGGGTACACTAGTGTTTGGTGCATATATGTTCATGATTGCAATATCTTCATGATTGATTATCTATCAAAATTCTGATGTCATATTCCACAGATTGAGATAAAACAACCAAGGATACATATGGAAACACAAAGATTACAAAAATCCAAAACAATCCCAAGGACTACAAGCACAGCTGGACATATCATAATTCCTGACCTCAAATTACACTACCTAGCTGGAGTGATAAAGACAGGGTGTTACTGACATGAAACCACACGAGTAGACCAACAGAACAGATGAGAGAACATGTATATAAATATTATAAACTGAAAAATATGCACCATTTAGTTCTTGAAAGAGAGGCAAAATCATGCAGTGAATAAAAGCTAAACAACTGGCACAGAATAAACTAGATTTCCACTTGCAGAAGAATGAAAATAGATTTACATATTTCACTTTGTACAAAAATCAATGTGAAATGTCTCAAAGACCTTCATTTAAAATCCAAAATACTGAAGCTACTAACTAAAAACATACGGAAATGCCCTTCAAGATATTGGGTATAGAAGAACTTTCTAAACTGAATTTCTACAGCATAGCAATAAGCCCAAGTATCAAAATATGGAACTGCATGTAATTGAAAAGTTTCTGCACAGCAAAGGAAATTTTCAGAATAGCATGCAGAGAGCCCATAGAATGGAAGAAAATCTTTATCAATTGTACATCAGATAAGAACAGAATCACTGAATGCATAGAGTTTAGGACATGCCAAGTGCTTTCTTTGAGTGACTACCCTAATCTAACTGTGTGATAGTTTGATCTGTGAGCTCATTACAATAACGTTGGTTTTAGTTTTTAAAATTCCATCTAATCTTTTTAATACTAAGCTGAATACTACAAATGCTAGAAATCTCAGAATAGTATCATTCTCTGTATCCACATCTCCTTGGAAGTTCAAAAAGTGAACTAACATGGAAATAGGACCTTTGTATATATAATTATGGTGAAGCAAGGACAAGCTAGATTAATGTGAGCATTAAAATTTAACAAATGATGTCTTTGTTGGGAAAAAAAAAT